CACCCCTTTGCTTCATGGATACTTAGCTATTATAGTGATGCATGCTGGTTTATTTTTCTCCATAATGAAGTGTGTCATGTTTTCTTCTACTTTTCATTAGGTGCTTAGCACAAAATCTGGGCGAATAGCTGTTGCAAATGGATACATAAGGGACCTCAGCCGTGCCCATATAACGGTATTACCTGACCTTGCGAACCTGCTTAGGCATCCATTTCAATTTATTAGGTTGATTATTAATATTTCAACTGGAATTTTTGTAGGTTTCATTGCCACGACGTCTGAGACTTCCAGGAAGTAATTCCTTGTTAGAGCAAGGAGATCTCCAATGTGAAGTTTGGCGTATAGATAAGGATGAGTCTGTTTCTTCATTTGCTACCATGAGGTTGGCCCTTGTTTTATTTTTTTTGTTGAAGGTTCTGAATTAGTAATTTAGAAAAGTTCCTTCTTCCTAAATAAAGTTTGTATTTGAACTGTTGCCAGACTCAACCTTGTCCAACTATTTGCTGAGAATCCACAAAACTCTCACCTAAGGAAGTTGATTGTTGACCTCGAGGTCTGTTCGTCCACTAGCCTATTCGTGCTATGTTTCTCCATACTGTTTTTGTTGTCTGTAATTTCCTTATTTGGATGTTGATAGGCTCCCAGATTTGATAGTGGAGGACTCCTAAGTCAAGATCCGGCACTATCATATATACAATCATTGCCAAATTTGAACAATGACCAACAGAGATCGCTGCATAAAGTAAATCTTTGGTCTTTAGTTCATTATTTTTTTTCTTCTGAAAATTCAATGTCACTATGTAAAGCGTACACTATGTTGCTTTCAGATTCTAGCAGCAAAAGATTATGCGCTTATCCTAGGAATGCCTGGAACAGGCAAAACATATACGATGGTGCATGCCGTGAAGTCATTATTGATGAGAGGGGAATCTATTTTGCTAACCTCATATACCAATTCAGCTATAGATAATTTGCTTATGAAGTTGAAGGCTGAGGTTTGTGTTCGCAATACTTCCTTTCATAAATTCAGTCATAACTCCCTGTCTCACTGTACTATTCAAATGAACAAACTCTTTTCCCCTATCGCATTGTTCCAATGAGCAACGTTTGGCTTGAGCATTGTAGCGCAACAAATCAAATCATCAAAATATGAACATGCTCTAATGCCATTTATATAGGGTGTAGATTTTCTTCGAATTGGAAGGCATGAAGCTGTACATCCTGATGTCAAAGGCCACTGCTTGTCAAGTTAGAATTTCTCATTATTCTACTTGTGCTTTTAAAATGAAGAATGTGTGTTTGATTATTTATTTTTTTGAACAGCAACAGATATACAATCAGTAGATGCCGTCAAAGCTAGAATGGAGCAAGTGCAAGTTGTTGGAGTCACTTGTTTGGGAATTTATCACCCTTTACTAGCACATAAGAAGTTTGACACATGTATCATGGATGAGGCAGGCCAGATCACATTACCGGTAGGCTCCAAACTAGGAATGCTTGGTACAAGTCTTGAAGGAAACCACAAAAATCCACACGATGGTCCTCATTTAACTTCAAGACTACATTAGTTGGTCAAAGCTGCTAAACCAGAATGATCTGTAAAATTGTTTTCTAAAGAGTCTTGCATCCTATACCATTTATAATTTCTCACATTGTAATATTTTACTCACTAGGTATCTCTGGGACCTTTGATGCTTGCAACAAAGTTTGTTCTAGTAGGAGATCATTATCAGCTTCCTCCACTTGTTCAGGTTTTCACTGCTTTGCTTGTACACTCATTATCTTAATGCTTTTTATACCAACCTTTCCCTTTTTTTTATTACTTCTTTCAAACAAATCACAGAGTTCTGAAGCTCGAGAGAATGGTATGGGTGTCAGTTTATTTTGGAGGTTGTCAGAAGCACACCCTCAAGCAATTTCAGCATTGCGATGCCAGGTATCTCTATTTGAATATCACACTTATGCTTACTTATCTAGTATTTCCACTTCCACTTATTTTCTGTTGAGTTGAAGACCCCTTGTTTCACTAAAACTCACAATGTGCAACTGCCAATTTGTAGTACCGAATGTCATCTGGCATTATGGAGCTCTCAAATTCATTGATTTACGGCAATAGGTTATCCTGTGGTTCGTTGGAAATTGCAAATGCCAAACTCAAGCTTTCTGGCAGAGGTCCTGTTCGCTTGAAGCTGAAAGAGGTAGCGCTGCGGCCTATTTCTTAATGTATAAGTACTCTGTTACTAGATACATTTTTTTGTTATGTCAGGTGTTTTTCTACTGCCATGCGCTTTATCTTCCAGGAGCAGTTTTAATTTTTCATTGACTTCAAATTGCAGATCTTGAACCCTGATAGGGCTGTCGTCTTTGCGAACACAGGTTATTGATTAGTTTGATTAGTCTGTCCTTTTGATTTGCCTTTCAATGCTAATCATGTGGGCAAATCATGCAGATGAAGTACCAGCTTTTGAGGCCAAGGAACATAGAACTGTGAACAATCCTACAGAAGCATTAATTGTTTCATGGGTATGCCCTGATCTATGTCTGGTGTGGACAATATAGCAAGCAAGCAGTAAACTTTAGCTACTAGTTAAAATCCTGTACTTAAAAAGTTCATCTGCTTCATAGTGCTGCTGTCTTGCTGACTGCTTCTGCCCTTTTGTTGTGCCATGCTAAATAATTAGCAATATCTAATTATCTTATATCTTTTAAGCTAGGAAAATATCGCTTGATTTAAACTGCTCTGGTCCACAAACTTGTGCTGAGGCTTAGTGTTGTGCATCCTTTTTTTACCTACATATATTGAGCCTAATTATATAAAAATCGAAATATCATCACTTCCCTTTCATCCTCAAAATTTGATCACATCCTTTTTGTAGATCACCAATGAATTGCTAAAGAGAGGTGTAGCTCAAGATGGGGTTGGTATAATAACTCCATATAATGCCCAAGCAAATCTCATTCAGCAACATGTAGACGCTTCAGTTGAGGTTCATACAATTGACAAGTACCAGGTGATAAAAGTTCCCTTCATCTTTTTATTAGATAAATGAAGAGCATTTGTTTTTTCTCAGTCTTCATTATCATTATCACCTGTTTCAATGATCTGAACACTTCAAGATTGTTTCAATGATTTGAGTGATTTTGGTCTTTGATACATGGTTCTAGTGAACATTTACATCTCAAATCATCTATGGCTCCATGCATGCATCTTTAAAGCAGCCATTCAGATCATAAGTAAAAAGTTATTTAAATTATTTAAAAAGATAGAAGAATCAGTGCCTTTGAATTTGCACTGTTTCTTAGTAATTCATTATGGTTATTCTGTTACCCTCATCACTAGTGAAAAACTGTCCAGGCTTTGGGAGCAACCATGTTTTGCTTCTTGTGGTTCCTTAGTTTTGTGGTTTCTCTGTAACTTGCAGCTCTAACAGAAACTCTTTTCAGGGGAGGGATAAAGAATGCATTATAGTATCTTTTGTACGGTCCAACGGGAATACAAGGGCTAGTGGTTCTTCTTTGCTTGGTGATTGGCACAGGATCAACGTTGTCTTGACACGTGCAAAGGTAAAGTACATCGAATGAATTTTTCCCATTTCAACCATTTCTCAAAACCACGTTCTTTTATAATTAAATTGTTTTGGTCTTTCATGATTATCAACACATAATTTTGTTGAATAGTTGCAAAAAGAAGACATGCTGATGTACTCATGCCATGTTTGATCTAACTTAGATGCTTGTCATTTTCATTTGAAACACAAATGTGCAAACTCTGTCAATGACAACTGCCTTGATAACGCAAAATATTACTCTGCGTTAATAGGCTCCCATTTCTACCCTTTTTTTATTTCAACTTAAGTTTTAGTGATTATTTTTGCAGAAGAAGCTCATCATGGTGGGATCCGCTGCAACTCTTTCAACGATCCCATTGTTGAGACTTATGATTGAGAAGGTAGCTGAGCGTGGCGGTCAGTTAGATCTGACAAATAAGGATGTACAGTCAATTCGAGAGCTAACAAGCTCTCGATTGAATGTACAATAGGTCGTGTCATAGATAAAGTTTTGCAAGTTTTTAGGCTAAAGCCGTATATATGTTGTATATTTTGCTTTTGCTTTGGAGTGTAGTGGCCAATTGACCATAGCCAAGTTTGATCGTGTTACTTGGTAGTGTTAACAGCACAGGCGATGGTTACTGTCAGCCTGCGTAGTAAATTAGTGAAGGCATTAGGGTGTTCACTTGGTACGTGTAAATTATTGACATATGTTGGCCAAGCATGTAAATTTTGGAAACAATATCTCTAATTACAATTGCAAGGACTGAAGACCTCGGTCCGGATGGCAGTATGCCACTAGTTATGTAAAAACAAAAAGGTAATAATATGATCATTGCAGTTGCCCTGATGAGAGACTTAAGACCATCTTATATCCGTGGACATCTTATAGTATCTTTGTTTTCTAATATACGGCTATTAATCTTTTGACAAACATTTGATCATTTGTCTTATTTAAAATTTTTTGTATAAACATATAAAAAGTAAGTCATGTTTATAGAATATATAATGATAAATCAAGTCACACTAAAATAAATAATAATTATAAAAAAAATTTAATAAGAAGAATGATCAAACGTATTTTAAAAAGTTAACGGTGTAATATTAAAAATAGATATTTATATGTGATTTGGATGATTGTGTGTCAAACCTACAAATTGAATGCATAATTGCTGCAAAGTCACGAGATGCTGATGTCTTAGTCATTTCTTTTTCTTGTTTAGTGATGAACTAATTTGTACTTTTGCTTCAGTTTGTTTACCTCTAATCCAAATGACCACATTACCACAATGGCAAAATATGCGAGCTTTTCGCGTTTCCGTACGAGCTTTTTTTCCATGCGAATCCGACTAGGATTCGACCTGTCATTTTCCGCTGTTGACTTCCCGAATCCGACTAGGATTCGAGCTATTGCCTTCCGCTTAGTATATAGGGAGGCAGGCTTCAAGTCAAGCTCCCATTTGGTCCATTTCTCGCATCCCTCTCCTGATCCCTCGCTTTTTGCACCACGCCACCCGATTCGCCACCGCGCCGGCGCGCCGCCGATCTGAGCACGAGAGAATGGCTTCCCAGTCGCCACAGTCGCGGGGCGTCGCGGAGCCCATCTCGCTCGTCGGCCCGACGCCGGCCGACCTGGAGAGCACGGCGCGGCTGGAGAGGCTCCTCCGCGAGGAGGGCCTGTACGAGAGCGCCGAGGAGACGGCGGCCCGGGAGGAGGTGCTCCGCGGCCTCCGCGGCGTCGTCGACCGCTGGGTGAAGCGCCTCACGCGGCAGCGCGGGTACCCCGACGGCATGGCCGACCGGGCCACCGCCCTGGTGCTCCCCTTCGGCTCCTACCGCCTCGGCGTCCACGGCCGCGGCTCCGACATCGACGCGCTCGTCGTCGGCCCGTCCTACGTCGACTGCGACCGCGACTTCTTCGGCGCGCTCGCCACCGCGCTGGCGGAGACGGCGGCCGTCGCCGAGCTCCAGCCCGTGCCCGGCGCGCACGTTCCCGTGATCAAGATGAGGTTCCACGGCGTGCAGGTGGACCTCGTGTACGCCGGCGTGTGCCTCCCCGTGGTGCCCGGCGACCTGGACCTCAGCGGCCGGTCGGTGCTCCGCGGCCTCGACCTCGCCACCGCGCGCAGCCTCAACGGCGTCCGCGTGGCCGACGAGATCCTGCGGCTGGTCCCGGACGCCACCGCGTTCCGCACCACGCTGCGGTGCGTGAAGCACTGGGCCAAGGCGCGGGGCGTCTACTCCAACGTCGCGGGCTTCCTCGGCGGCGTCGGCTGGGCCATCCTCGTGGCGTGCGTGTGCTTGCTCTACCCCAACGCCTCCCCCAGCATGCTGCTCCCGCGCTTCTTCCGCGTCTTCGCGCGGTGGAAGTGGCCCAGCCCGGTGATGCTGCGCGCCATCGAGCACGACGACGGCGAGCTCGGCCTCAGCCTCCCGGTCTGGGACCCCCGCCGGAATCCGCGGGACAAGATACACCTCATGCCCATCGTGACGCCGGCGTACCCGTGCATGAACTCCGGCTACAACGTCTCGCACGCCACCCTGCGCGTCATCACCGAGCAGCTCGCCGTCGGCGACGCCGTCTGCCAGGAGATCGTCAAGGCCGGCAGCGGCGGCGGCGGGTGGGACAAGCTGTTCCAGCCGTTCAACTTCTTCGGCGCGTACAAGAGCTACCTCCAGGTGGACGTGACGGTGACCGGCGGGGAGGAGGACGACCTCCGCGAGTGGAAGGGCTGGGTGGAGTCGCGGCTGAGGCTGCTGTCGGCCAGGGTGGAGGCGGACACGTCCGGGATGCTGCTCTGCCACCTGCACCCGCAGCCGTACGCCGCCGAGCCCCACAACGAGCCGCGGCGGCGGCGGCGCACGTCGTCCTTCTTCGTGGGCTTGTCCAAGCCACCGGCGCAGCCGCAGCAGCAGCAGCATCAGCTGTTCGACCTCCGCGCGACGACAGAGGGGTTCAAGGAGGAGGTGTACATGTACGACTACTGGAGGCCCGGCATGGAGGTCGCGGTGGCGCACGTCCGCCGGAAGGACCTGCCGTCCTACGTGCTGCGGCAGCTGCTTCGCTCGCCTGGCCGCCATGATCAGCTCAAGAGGAAGCGCGCCGACGATGATCCGTCTTCTTCCCCTGCTGCTTCCGATCACTCCGCTTCGAGCTCGAGCAGCAGGGACGCCAAGAGGCCGGCGGCTGCGCCGGGCAGGATCGGATCGTCGTTTGAGAAGAAGACGTAGAGCTGCTCCGATTCCAGTAAATGCTCTTCTCAGCAGCGGCATTGGTGCTTCAAGATCAGAATCCAGAAAGCATCGTCTGACTGAGTCGCAAGCCATCAGTCTGACGAGTCCTAGCTTAGCACTCGCTTTGTAATTGATCAAGAAAAGGTCTTCTAGCTGGGACAGCTTCCTGTAATTAATATATTCACTGTATTAAGTGTGTACAGAGTGCAGAAAAGTGAAGCATCAAACTTGTGTTGTCGGTTCTGATATCTCACCACTGTAATGCATGATATATTGATATATCAGAATGAATCATCCAACTTGTATCTTCAGTACATTAATAAATATTTTTTTTTCATGCTTACCTAATCCCATCTCTGTTCATCTTCAATCCCAAGCTCCGAGCCGAAATTGGAAAGCTAAAGCCCATCTTGGCTAAAGGCCCAAATATCTGACATGTCGAATTCTTCTCAAGGCCCATATCCATAGTTTTTGGGCCTCTCACATTTCGAATTCTTCTCAGTGTTGGCCCGCACTTTGCTTCCGGCAAGGAAAAAGTCTAATTCGTAACCTTCAAACCAAGTATAACCACCCTCCAACTCCAACAATAAAAGGATCCCCCTACAAATCGGGCGCCCGATCGTGGGTGGGGGAAAAACGTTAGCGCCACACATGTGTACAAAAACACTTTAAACTATTTTTTCTCTTAAATTATTTATCTAAATCATGATCCGATTGCACCATTAAATTCGTTGCAATTAAATCTTCAAAACAGAACCACACATGGATATATTCCAACGAATTTTTTTAAGCTTATTATTGAATTATTTTTAAATGTTGCACGATGTTCCACCAGATATATCGGAATTGTTTCACTAAGTAAATCGGAAATGTTTCAATCGTTTAAATCAGACGTTGTTTCACCTTATATAAAAACAATGTTTCAGCAAATAGCGAAATAATGTTTCAGTTCACTGCAACATTTGATCCATACATAGTGAAACATTATAAGTACACTCGATGAAACATTTTTAGTGGAACAAAAAATGAAACGAATTCCCTTAATAGAGGGCAGGGCCGGTCCTGAGGTTTTGGTGGCCCGGGACAAAATTAAAAACAGGGGCCCCTGATATAAACATCTAAATAATAGTCAATATATATGTACCAAATATATAAATACTTCATTCCAAAATCAATATCCATATTGAAAACTTCATATATATCAGCTTAAAATTTGTTTGAAATGCATAGTTACTAAAGATGGTATGAATGTCAATCTCATCTAAATCATTTACTCAATGTATAAAATGGCAAACCATTTAAACTTTCTAGAAGGTGTGATAAAAGAACAAATTGATGATTGAGAAAATTAATATACTAATGGCTAAACTCATATAAATTACAAAGCTAGAAAAGCAACATATTAATTGAAACGAATCTAGATCTTACCGATTAGTGGCCAGTGCTAACATCAATGTACATTTGCCATATGAGACAGACAGGAGTAGTGCATGTACACATGATCAGAGCACCCGAGCAGCGGCGGATGGCGGTATCAGTCAATCAACTGAATGCGGCCATAGAGGAATCAAATAGACAGAAACGGAGGAGAGTTCCTGCGTGAGAGTATAATGGCATAATACCCTCACAATCCTAAAGATGAGATAGTATTGCATTCGTATCATGAATTCATGGTATGCTAAAAAAATGTTGCGAACCTGAAAATTTCTGTACGTACGGATGTGATATGCATCGGAGACGGAGGCAGTGACTTGGTGAGGCGGAGAGAGGGCCTGCAGGTCCTGGGCCTGCGGGCCCGCGGAGGTTGCTGCCTCGCGCCGTTGAGCAATCGCACGAGAACCTGCTGGTAGCTGCTGACATCGGCGAGGTGCGTTGCTGCTACTCGTTGTATTCCGGCACCGTCTCGAAGGATTCAGCGGCCTCGTCCGATTTTCATGTTCTAGGAATCGCAAACGCCGCCAATTGCGCTCGTCATGCGCCGGCCATCGCGCTCGTGCTGCTCTACCGGCCGCAGGGGGAGGCCTTTGCCCATGGCTGCTCGACGCCCTCAGGCCGGGCCTGATAGAGGGTTTTCCAAAATATGTAGGTGATTAGTTGTGAAAGAATGTTTTGGTTCACTGCAACATTATATCTATACATAGTGAAACATTGTGAATACATTAGTTGAAATATTTTTGGTGGAACAAAAAATGAAACGAATTCCCTTAATAAAGGGTTTTCAAAATATGTGAGCGATTTGTTGCAATGGAGTATGTGATGGAGACACATGGTAGGTGGGAATAAAGATCATGGTGGGACCCAGAATATACATGCATGTGCGTGAGAGACGGACCGCGGGGGGAGCGCCCGATTTTTTGCTCCCCCGTCGGTCGACCGACGAACAGCATTTTCAACAATTAAAACAGGTACAAAATGACTCCCAGACAGTATTATTAAAGGCGATTTTCGCTGATGCGGCGTGGTGGGGTCCACATGTCAGTGCCTTTTCTTCTTCTTCGCCCTTCCTTTTTCTTTTCTCCGTTTTCCTAAGCACACCGGCATGCAGGGCGGCCCTCCACGACATATGTACTGTAGCAGCATATAACATAAAAGTTACAGTTTTGTGATAATTTTTCACGCTATTATTGCAGCAAACTGAAACATGCCGCTAATGTTGCAGCAAACTGATAGTTTTCTCATTAAAGTTGCAGTTTTGTCATTTTGAACTATAGAGGGACTGGAAATGGACTTCTTTCCCTTCCCGCAACTTGATCGCTTGGGCCCATGACTTCTAAAGGCCCAAACACATTGTCGAGACCTACCTGCTCACTTGTTGGGCCTTCCGTCCTGTCCTCTACACGCGTCGACCAGAGTGCAGAGCAGACTGCAGTGCAGAGTTGGATTCCGCCAAGGCACCAACCCATCACCGCACCGGTGCCGGAGAAGAAGACCGTACCGGCGCGCGCGGCGGCGGCGCCAGCCACCACCAGCTAAAAACGACTCTGCTGCTTACTCGGTGCTAACTTTCGCAATCCGTCATTATGATTCTGCACCTAAGGCCTAAACACAGCACTAATGTTGGATCAAATCGATCCACATCTCTCGATCACTTAGGCTGATGAGTGGTAGCTAGCACAGAACTGTATATACTCTTCCTTGCAGATCAGGACAAGAGAAAGGACGAAGATTAGCGTTGTGTGTAATGACTGGCTCAGTGCTTAACTGCCTTTTATTGTCCTCTTTAAAAAAAACTGCCTTTTTATGGTGTAAAGTAGCCAACGTGCTTGCCTGCGTCGGATCGCACTAAACGTTGGGCTGCATGACAGTATATGCATGACAACCACACAACAACAACGACAGATTAGTTCAGTATATCAATATATATACGAATACGATGATTAATTAATTATAACAAGGGAGCTGCATGACTTGAGTTGACTAGCATTGTTTGGTCATCTGCTCTCTTGCACCAGCAACGAATTCAAGCTAACTTTTGACACATCCATTTGTCTTAATTAATTTTTTTCCCTCCCTTTCTTTGCATAGTATAAATTTGTTGAGCGTGGCTGCCAAGGAATCTACATGGATGGGCTAGTGTTCGTGTGGAACTTCAATTCCTTTGGTGTTTTGACAATATGTTAGGGAAAAAAAGGACTATTGACTTGACGCTTTTACATGACGTACTTGGCCGTCTTAATTTTGTCTTGACCCATCCATTTGTCTTAATTTTGTAATTCTTGTCCTTCTTCTTGTGTACTAGCAACCTGCAGATTGTAGTCGATTGAGTAGCTGCCAAGACATGGCTAATACAAGGGTGGCTGTACTTGTATGAGCGAGAGAGCGAAGTTTATTTGTTTTTCATTATCTAAGAAATGTGCGGAAGTTGCTCTGATGTTTCTTTGATGGTTTAAATGAAGAAGATGACTAACTTGACTCTCTTACATGAGGTTTATTTCCTTTATTAAAAGACGAGGACGTCGTATTTGTCTTGATGACTGTATTTACATGACATGCACATCAGATCAATATGTTCGAAAAGCTAAATCATACATGATGACTAATGTTACTACCGATTTACTGAATCTACACATGGAGTTGCTCTGCCTTTGCATGCACGGCAAAGTGATTTCTGGTTTGAGATAGGAGAGTGACAGATGACAAGACACAGTATAATGTACGCCAGTTGGCTGAATTGCCAAGTGGAAAGTAACACCCAAATCAGGGTTAGAAATTAGTATTCCCTCCGTCATATAATATAAGGGATTTTGAGTTTTTGCTTGCAATGTTTGACCACTCGTCTTATTCAAAAAATTTGTGCAAATATAAAAAACGAAAAGTTGTGCTTAAAATACTTTGGATAATAAAGAAAGTCAAAAAAAATAATAATTCTAATTTTTTTTTGAATAAGACGAGTGATCAAAGAGTACAAATAAAAACTCAAAATCTCTTATATTATGGGACGGAAGGAAGGAGTATAAGAGATGGCGATGCATGTACTGCTCTCTTCTCTTTGGCTTCCCAGAGTGCACACCTTATGTGGCCACTAAACTCTGATCGATGACACGCATCAGCATGACTATATAGGTAGCTAATCCCTCCGTCCAAAAAAAAAGACAAACCGTGGGTTTCTGTGCCAACGTTTGACTGTCCGTCTCATATGAAATTTGTTTATAATTAGTATTTTCATTGTTGTTAGATGATAAAACATGATTAATATTTTATACGTGACTTATCTTTTTAATTTTTTTTATAATTTTTTTAAATAAGACGAACGGTCAAACGTTGGACACGAAAATCAGATTTTGTCTATTTTTTTGACGGAGGGAGTACCTCGACTCCGATAATTGCAGAAGACGGCTGTCAGGGAAAGCAGGAAGCATGGGGTCCGCTGTCAGCTTCAGAGTTAATTAGAGTGTGGATCTCATTCTCAAACTGTCAATCAAGCACCTACTACTGCTGCTGCTGCACACGCCCGCATGCATGCATATTCATCCACTATAACCAAATTAAAGCAGCTAAAGTGATTAAAGAGGTGTGGACGATCGATTTTGCTATTTGCTCCGGTTTCATTTCGTGTACTGCACACCCTGCACTTATTACCATGTTTTCTGTGGCCAACTGGCCATGCATGGAGCTGATGTGTTTTAGCCACCAATTCTAGATCTACTTCCTTCGTACTAAAATAACTTAACCTAAAATATAATGTGATCTATATATAAGTTAAATTATTTTGGAATGAAATCATATCATGTATGTATAATGATATTTTCTTTTATCCAGATTTATATTATTAGGATATATCAATGATTAACTTGTTTTAGAATTGAGTACTCCCCCCGTCCCATAAAAAATCAATATAGTACT